AGCCGTGGGAATGATAGAAGCTGGTTCCCGGCAACGTACTGTGGCTTTAGCTCTGAATACAAGTCAGAGTGTTATCAGTCGACTTTGGACACGATACCGAAGCACTGGTACCGTGGCTGAGCGCCATGGAGGACGGTATCGCTGCACCACACGGAGACAAGACCGATACATTCAAATCTTAACTCGAAGAGCTCCAACAATAACCGCCATGATGTTAGCCGTGAGGCTTCATCACTCTCCAGGGAACTTAATTAGCGACCAAACAGTCAGAAACCGCTTGCATGAAGTGAACCTTCATTCCCGAAGACCGCTACGGGTACCACCTATAGCAATGCACAATCGTAGGATTCGATATCAATGGGCTCTTGAACACAGAAATTGGGCAGAAGAACAATGGCGTTTCGAGTGCTTTTCTGATGAGTCTCGTTTTGGTATGAGACCGGATACAAGACGTATACGACACTGGAGAACCCCTGGACGCCAACAGCGTTTAAAATCCTGCCAGGAAGTCCATCCTTATAGTGGTGGAACCATCATGGTATGGGCGGGTATTTGGATCGGCGGAAGAACTGAGTTGATTTGGATCAGAGGCAACCTCAACGCTCAAATTTATGCTGAGACGATTGTATCAGACGTCATCGTTCCTCTACAAGTGCAAATCGGTCCCTTATTTCAGTTAATGCATGATAATGCACGACCGCACACCGCAAGAGTTGTAAGACAGACTCTCGCCGCAGCTAACATCAATGTCCTGCCCTGGCCTGCTCAGTCGCCAGACTTGAACCCGATTGAGCATGCATGGGATATGCTACAGAGAAGAGCTCTGCCGAATATAGAGGGTATCCAGTCGCAAGAAGACCTTTTTTTGTTGTTGCAACGAACATGGGCGGCCATTCCACAGCGTGATTTGGATGAACTCATTTTGAGTATGCCAAACCGATGTTCTTGTGTTGTTAGTGTTCGCGGTAGAAATACGGATTATTAATTGTTTAAGTTACCCAATAAAATTTTAGAGAAAACTGTTATTTCAGTCTTTTTTTCGAACTTTTGTGTTAGTGGTTCAAATGTCAAAAATCCCTTTATTAGGAAAATGGCAAATTTCTTTATTAATGCAAAGGTGACTTGGTTTATCGTTACTGTGACAAACGAAAACACTTTATTTGATGAATACTTAAAGAAAATTTTAATTAATATCAATCAGGAGAAAAGTTATTGCAAAAATATATGTTGATCCCTAGACACTTTTGATGTGTGTATTTCTATTTTTCTTCGTCCACGGCAAAGATATAGTTTTGTTGAGTTCGAACTCATTTTGGCTCAATAACGGAATTTTAATTTCCATGATTAGAAAAGATTTTGTCACTTTTGCACTAACTCGTAAAAGTTGATATAAATCTTTTCTACTGTCAGCAGGTAACACTGTTTCTCCATGCAACTGCCCTGAGATCAAATTTATCTGATTTTGCATTTTTTCCGGCGATATTCAGTGTATGTTACTTTGTGCATGATGGATATTCGTAATAGTGTCAATAAGTGTTTCTTGAATCCTTCTTAAATTAGATAAGATCACGACGGCTGATAGTGCAGTTGTCATCATATTGAAAACTTCGAATTGATAAGATGTGGCCTTTCGGACCTCACCAATGTCCATTGAGAATTTTTTTAAATGTCCATTAATAAACTGAAAGTGATTATTCATTATATTTTCAGTCTGTCTGCCTTTCCATCCGAGGTTTTGTTTAGATCGGAAATTATTTAGTAGGCTCATAATATTAAGTTTAGTTTTTTGAAGTTATACTTCTTTAGGCGCGTTATGAAAAAATGATGAGAGTGAAATTTTTAAATGCGCGCGCATCACTGTAACCCAAAAGTAACCGCATGAAGATGGCCGAGGGCGCGTTATGAAAAAATCATGTGAGTGAAATTTCGAGATGCGCGCGCATCACTGTAACACAATAGTAACACCATGAAGTTGGCCGCGGGCGCGTTATGAATGTTAGTGTCTAATAATGGTGGATTATTAACCACTTAGTGGTTAATAATCCACCATTATTAGACATCTGTTCGAAAGGTGCTTTGAACGATCCACGGAGCTCCATAAGATGATCGCGTTGTCAAAAACAATGTTGGCACGCTCGTCGCCTCTGATCACTGTTTTCATATTTATAATATTTATCCACATGTTTCTAGTTTCTATATAGACACAACGTGTTTTAGTTACTTACAAGTGCTAATTACATATGGACTAATAACTTAAATTCAGTAGTGATTTTAATTGAATATTTTGAATATTTATTTAATTTTTCAAATTAAAACTGAACTTAATTGACTGTGTTAACTATCCTTTTCCAGTCCTTTTATTATTTTATTGTAATTAATAAAAACTAATTTTAAACGATGCCAAAGAAGGATAACTTCTCACGCGCCTACATAAGTACACGCACCCATTTTTTTTTAATAATAACTAGAACTACATTCACAGATTTTTTTAAATCGCCTGCTGCATCTGCGAATCAAGCTCGTGCAAAAAACTCATAACGTATTTTATGAAAACCATCGAAAGGGTTAAATTATAAGGATTATTTTTTGCTCCAAAACGTAGCACTTTAAATGAAAGGAAGATCATGAAATTCCATTTTTGTTTAGGAAAATATCTACCTATTTTTTATTGCTGCCAACGGCAAATAAAAGGAAGATAACAAAATAAAATTTTGTTCAGAAAAATTTCCTCTAATTTTTCCGTGCTTTCAACATGTTATCATTTCAAAGTATTAACTAACTACTAGTTAGTACCTGTACCTGCTTACTTAATAATACAGGATTTCCTTACTTACTTAAGTTCTATACTTGAAAAAGAAAGTGTATTTTCTTTAATTTAAAATGCTATGTTATTTAGGAAAATTAATCCTTATGATTTAAACTTCCGAGTTATCACACTAATATTATAAAGTTATAAATTGCGCAGGTATGAAAAATCCAATAGAGCGGTTTTGGAAAGTTCATGTACACATTTGCAGTGCACATTTCAATGTTCGTTTTACTATATTTTTTTTTCATGATTGAAAAAAAAATAGTAAAAACGAACATTGAAATGTGCACTGCAAATGTGTACATGAACTTTCCAAAACCGCTCTATTGGATTTTTCATACCTGCGCAATTTATAACTTGAAAACGGTAAGTAATACAAAAAAATTGTTTATACGAAAGTTGTTGGTAATTATGTACGAAACAACTTTGCCATTTAAAGTTTTCCATTAAAATGATATTTTCAGGGTGAAAAAGTGAAAAAACCCTTTTTTTGAGACTTTAGCGCCACCTACAATGCGCATTTTTTGTTGTACGAGATTGCAATAATGACATAAATTGTAGTATCAACGCCTTCTACAATTATGGTCAAAAAAAAGTTTCTAAAATGCATACAAAACAAGAAAAATGCGTTTCAAAAAAATTTTGATGGTTTATTTGTTTTTCAAAAAACGCCTACGACTTGAACATGCCCATCGCCAAGGTGGCTTACTGACGTCATTTGGCAACAGAAAATTCAAGACTTACCCTTTAGGTTTTTTTTTTCACCACTCAACCTACAGATTGACTGTACTAAAGTCATGTTACAAAATGTATCCACAAAATACTTACCCATCTCACTATTTCTTTAAATACATATTGATAAAATCCTTGAAATTTAAAATATTACTACTATTCGTAAACTATTTTGAATATTTTCAATAAAAAATTTGGATATCAATGTTGTTGCAATATTAGAAGTAATACGGAGGAGGAGGGAAAAGGGAAGGAGATGGTAGCCTTATAGTCTCTCAAAAAGCACCCGTTGGATTTACTCGCGCGGCAGATTAACATATGGGGGCACTTAGCACCCTGTGAAGTAAGTAGTCCCACCATACCTGAGCCCTCTTTGTAGAGCCGAATGTCTTCGCTACCATTATAATCTTGCGAAATCGAACTTCATATGTTGTCATACCTAAAGAGCATACGATTACGGAACATTTAATGAGTATAGTCATTGTTGTCATTCGTACACCAACTACTGGACGTGTAAGGGCCTCCTCTAAGGATTTTCACACTGCACGGCTTTGAGCTTAATCCAACAGCTTCCCACAGCCTCTACATGTAAAGGAAGCGTTGAATCGACAAATATTTACATACTTGCCAACTATATTATTGTAACAAGCATTCAACTGATAGATTTTTAGATTTTATATCTAAGGTAACCTAGTTCAGATATATCTTCAGTTCGGAATTAATCTCATAATATGAAATAATGAACTACCTTTTATAACTGTTTCCGAATGTCTTATTGTTATTTGTGTAGAAATCTACCTAATAATCTGCTTAATAGTGAAATACCTACTTGAAATAATTCTGAACATTCTTATTGGCCCAGATAGCGGGCGAAAAGGTACTAGATTTTTTTTCTAATTATTTTTCTTTACTCAGAACCCATTTTCATCAGAAATTGTTATCTATTTTTATCTGTCTATTATTTAAGAGCGGCAATAAAACAAATGGCTAGTATCATAAAGTTTATTTCCACAATTCATTTTGGGAGAGAGCGCTAATCCTGGTAGGGTTTCTACGTCAAAATAAATTAAATAATACTCAATAGCGTTAACAACGTGATGTAATAATTTATATAACTTCTAGTTGCCTCACAAATAGTTCTATCAAATTAATACGGTGCACAAAGTCGCAACAATGCAAGACAACCTACCTAAACTAAAAAATAAGGTAACTTTATATTGAAACATTACAAAAAACGAGTTTATCATACATTATGTAGTAACAGGAATATAATATTTTTAATAAGTGTAGGTAATTAGTATCTTAATAATCTATTAAAACCGTTTCGTCGTAAACATCTTTTAAAGATTCAATAAGCAAATACGAAAAAAACAAATAATAAATTAAATTTTGTCTATACAGTTACGTATTTCTGTAGGTACAACAAATAAATAATAACGATAAAATGCAGAAAGTGAATTTAATTACTGCAAATAAATAAATCACTAGGGTGCGTCGTTTCCTTCTTAATTAGTACACCCTGCGAAAGAAAACACTCACATTATTTTTAACAAAGAAAAAAAAATACAATTTATTTAAAAACAATCGCTCAGCGTCGCCAGCAAAAATGGGTACCCGAATTCGCATCGCTTTAAAAACCTTCAAACTTACAGCTTCTGAATCTCGTGTTGCGTTGTTCATCAGTCTTGTCTTGTGAGGGAGGGCAGCCTCCTGTGGGCCCTCCTGGGCGAGGCACTGTAGGATCTCACACCCGCATAAAACTTGCCGCTTTGCGTGATAACTTCGAGTCTGGCGGCGGCTTCGACTCTTCCGAAGTCGTTCTCGAGCGTGATCCTGTAGAGTCCCACATCATCGATCGTCACTTGTTCAATCTCTAGGATCCGCAGAATCTCGTCCTTCTCCTTGATGGTTATGCGGGAGGAGGGCGTGATGATCACTCCGTCCTTGTCCCACGTGGCCCACGGCGCGGGCAGGCCTCGCACCGCGCACTGGAACACGACGTGGTCACCTTCCTCCACCACCTTGTTGAATGGGTAAGTGTAGAACTTGGGCGCCATTTGGCGTGATGGGCTGCATAGCCGTCTAACGTCCGGACCTATTATTAAACAATGCCACTCTTTAATATTTTTTAGTTTAAATGAGAGCAATAAGCTCCGATGGCGCAATGGCCATCACGTTCAGTTTGCGTTTACTGGTTAAAGAGTTATCAAATATTGATTATCTCGAGCTCCTCCATGAGAGTAGGTGAGTGGAGCGCATTAGGTACGGGTAATTCACAATTCGCGCTTGTCAAACATGAATATAAACTTTGTTCATTGAAGGACATTGCCAAACTCAAATAAGTATATAATACATATATAAATGTGATTAAAATTATATAGGTGAAACATGGAACTGGAACTTTTGTTAAATGCTTAACGCCCGTTCCTCTTATCAGCCAAAAGGTTGGGAGTTAGGTAAAATATAGGACTACTATAAATATTGGTACTAATATTCTTTATTTAGGTATAAATGAACTAAGCAGGTTGGCAACTAAAATTTTGTGAATACTTGAAGACCTTATGTGTATTCAGAAAAGAACAGAAGAGAAATGTTTAAAGACAATTCTAAGTATTCACGCACTCCATAGAAACTTTTAATCGCTATCTTACAAGCATAGTAGGTAGTATGGAAAATTTATCATTTAAATATAAGAAATGCCCAAAAAAGGAGTGTGATATTTTCAGGGTTCATAATATCATGAGTTTATTTATTCCAACCACGCCAACAGTCAGATGTAGGTACTTATAGATAACTTTCCAAAAAAAGCCTTTTACCCCAAGACAATTAATACTGAATTTGGTTTCTACCTACCCTCTCATTACTAAAATATGTATCTTATATTTTTATCACGTCAAGTATTTTTAATTCACTCTCATTAAGTTATTTCGGTAACTTGTTACTGCAGTACCATGGTGTTAACATGGTGCTGAGTTAATATTCGCTTTTGTTGTATTAAACATTTAAGAAAGATATAGCAAGTAAGAAAGATATTAAAAGATAAAAATTTTGATAGGCATTCCAGTATCGAAAAATATACTTGGTATTCATTTAAAGCAGTAGTAAAAAAAATCTTAGGCAACCATAAATCAGAAGATTATGAAGAAATTGTTTCCAATTTGTTGAAGAATTACCATAAGATGGGGGTGAATATGTCATTAAAAAATCATTTTTTACATTCGCACCTGGATTATTTTCCTGAGAACCTGGAAAGCGTAGGCGATGAACATGGTGAACGTTTTCATCAAGATTTGAAGATTTATGAAGAGAAGTACGAAGGTTTTTGGGATAAAAATGTGTTAGGTGATTACTTCTGGTCTATATTAAGACAAACTGACGCTAATCAGTATAAAAGAAGAAGTTATCTGTATCATTTTTGTTTTCTTTGTAGGTCACACGTAAAAAAATGTTAAAAAACAAATTATATAGTAAATGTTTACAAAACTTGACGTCCTATTCTTTTCCCACTTCAGTATCTAACATAGGGTTTATTACTCTACTGATTCACATTAATTTCATATATTTGTAAAAAACATGGAGAGCCCGCTAGAATTTGCCATACAATGCCGCGATCCAAAGTACTAAGTAAGTACTACAGGCTTGTGCCAGTTTTCTTTTGCTGAAAATAGAGTAGTGAGTCCATTGTCAATAGCAACTACGTTAAGAAAATACTCCCCAAAATTGTTTATTTCGCGGTTCTGTAATGTCTTGGCATTTAGGAAGCCACGACCACCACACTTCCGCGGGATATACAATCTCATAGCCGTGGAGCGTGGGTGATGCATACGGTGTGCTGTTAACAATGTGCGAACTGTTCTGTCCAAGGCATCAAGTTCAGTTTGAGTCCATTTAAGTATGCCAAAGGCCCAGCCATTATATGCACGAACCTTGTTTCCGCCCGGCAAAAGACTTTTAAGAACTTTTGTCAGGCGCCCCAAGAAACGCTCACGTAATGAATGTTTCATGTCAGCATCGTTGATGCCTAATGCCTGTGACATAACTAAATATTTATTAGTTTCGTTTACAGAGACAGATCTAAGGTGAACTGAATCCGAGAGTTGTATACCCGCGGATTCCACTACCTGACCACGCTTTACACGCATGACTGCACCACATTTGTTCACACCAAATTCCATTCTGATAGCATTACTGAAATCTTCAGTAACCTTCAGTAAGGCTGTCAAATGAGAACTGCTGTGGGCAAACAGTTTCAGGTCATCCATGTATAGCAGGTGTGATATTACTTGACCATTTCTCCGTAAACGATAGCCTAAACCTAAACCCTCAGAGGGTTCAAGGGCAGGCAAAACCATTATTATTATTAGCTTGTTAATTCATCGGCTTTTTACAAGCTTTTACTTTTAATCTGCTACTCGATGACACGGGGCGAGTTTACAAGGGCCATCGGGGAATTCGATTAAATTCGATCAAATTTTCACTAGTATTTTTAAGTTGCAAGGCAACGTTATCTCTACGCATTATAGGTAACTCACAATGTCAAATGAATACCTTTACAAGTATTAAAAATTTGAAAGTAGAAATGGCAATTAATATTTAAATTTTTCAAGCATTTAACTGCTAGTTGAACAAATTTAAAGAAAATGTCATCAGGGCCGCGGTAGCGTAATGGTCAGTGCATTCGCATAAACGTCTAAACCTATAAGACAATAATATGACATCTCTCGAACCGAATTCACACCAAGTTCCCAAACACAATCAAAGACTTTATAAATCTTCAAAATCTAAGTATAGTAGCTATACAATACAATACTAAACACTTCATTGTACACAACAGATAACATTACATTTAGTACATAAACAATTAAAACTAGTGTAATAATGGGCGGCCTTAACGCTGAGAGCGATCTCTTCCAGACAATCTTTGGATGAGAAATACTAGAAGCAAGGGGAGAGACAGCGGCGTAAATCATTTGAGTGATATAGGTAATAATATATACAATTATATACATATATAAATATATATATATTTTAAATAAATACATACATACACATAAATAAAAAAATGGATGCGTGTAACTTATGTACGCGCGTGAGAAGTTATACTTCTTTAGCATCATTAAAATATTTTTTAATTGCATGCAAATAATTAATAATTACAATAAAATAACAAGAGGACTGGAAAAGGATAGTTAACACAGTCAATTAAGTTCAGTTTTAATTTGAAAAATGAAATAAATATTCAAAATATTCAATTAAAATCACTACTGAATTTAAGTTATTAGTCCATATGTAATTAGCATTTGTAAGTAACTAAAACACGTTGTGTTCTTGACCTTCACAAGTGCTTGTAACAGCCTAGACTGAATAAATGTCATTTCATTTCGTTTCGTTTCGTTTCGTTTCGTTTCGTTTCGTTTCGTTTCGTTTCGTTTCGTGGAACCCCACAGTCACTTGGAAAATAAAATATTACAAATAACGCGCCTGCGGCTAACTTCATTATGTTAAAATTTTGTGTTACAGTGATGAAAATTTCACTCTCATAATTTTTTCATAACGCGGCTAAAGAAGTATAACTTCAATAAATCCAGTTCAAATAAGATTAACATCAAATGTTATAAGGACAGATAATGGGACTTTACGAGGTTTTTAAAAGCGTGAATAGATTCTGTCGTATGGTAACTGGTAGAGAATTCCTCAAATATACGGCTCGTACTGCAAACGAACGGCTTGTTGTAGCGTGTACAAGAGTCATGAGAGTGAGATTTTTTTGATGACCTAAGGGATAACGTGGTAAAAGTGTGAAGGAAATAAAACATTCCTGGAGATAGACCTGGGTCTTAGGATTAAACAATATGTTGTAAAGGAGAGCAAAGTTTAATCATTATTTATTAAATACAAAGTACCATTGCACAAGATTAACTAGCTAACCTAAATTATAAAAATTGTCTTTTTTCTCACTAATGCACGCTTCTAGCAATGTCTTATTTTCTTTCACTGTCCCATGCATTTCACGACAAATCAGATTGTAATTGCATCACTTACATAATTTAGCCTTCACCATGTCCACACTTAATTTATTACGGCTGTCAGTAAAGAAATGATTTATAAATACTCTTTTCACATAATCATTACTACATGGTACTGCCATCCACATGCACGATCCGCAATCTACGAAATGGCTCAAAAACAGTGAAAGCGTGCACGAAGCGGCAATATAGCACAAACTAAGTGGATGCTACGCAACATTGACTGCCGATTGCGTTAAATCTGATAGTTGAATCGTATATAAGGGAGCAAAATTAATCAGAAAAAAATATACCGAACCGCCCATACTTCGGTATTTTTGTCATACCGAACACGGTTCTAATATATCAAACGGTTCGGTAGAATACCGAACACCTGGCAACACTGGTTGCAAATGAATTGAGAAACGTGATCATATTAGCGGCCAAATATGAAGCGGATGCAAAAGTTTTGAAGTCGCTTATTTAGCTGGTCCTCCGTGAGATCAAGATAGCAGACGTTAGCATAATCAAGAATAGGAAGCAACAACGACTGTGCTAAGGTAATTTTGGTAGTGATGGGTAGGAAATTACGTAGTCTTCTAAGCGACTCTGCTGAAGCAAACAATTTGCTGCTGACCTCTTGCATCTGTGGACCCCAGCTCAAACAATTATCGAAAGTTAACCCCAGGTTTTTTACCGACGCACTAAAAGGGACATTATTACTAGCCAGCTGGATATTGGGTTGACTGCCATTCTACTCTATCTATCATCCTAGAACTACCTACTATTATGCTATTAGTTTTAGACGGATTCAATTGCAATCCAAAGGTTTTGCTCCACTCTGATATAGAATGTAGATCGCTATTAGTGGCGCGTACCGCATCTCCAAGTTGACCAAATGATGCTTGGCGATAGGTTTGGAGGTCATCTGCATATAGGTGGTAGGAAGAAGAAATATCATTTGATACGGAGTTGATTAAAACAGCGAAAAGAAGAGGAGATAAGACGCCGCCTTGCGGAAAGCCAGCAGTCGTGTCGCTCCAAGAGGAAAATTAAATTTCTCCTAAAGACAAACGCGCTGCCTGCGCCCATACAGATAACTGTGAAACCACTCAATCACTGATGGAGATACGTTAAGTGAGCGCGGCAAAGCCAAAAGAATGTCAAAATTGACGGTGTTAAAAGCATTGCTGAATTCCAATAATGTTAATACCGTGAGGAGACCATTATCCATCCCAAGGAGTATGTCATCTGTCACTTTGAGCAAGGTAGTCGTAGTACTATGGCCGGGACGGAAACCAAATTAGAAAGGATAAAAAAGGTTGTGGCGAGATAGGAAGATATTAAATTGGTTGTGGACGAGGCGTTCAAGGACCTTAGATAGGCAGGGTAGGGTATAGAGATGGAGCGAAAATCGGCGGTGGATTGAGAGCTCGATTATTTAGGAAGTGGGATAATTTGAGCTTGCTTGCTAACTGACGGAAAAACAGCATTAAAAATCGCACTGTTAAATATATACTCTTAAAGCTTTATATGGATTAATATTGAAATTTCGTCGTCACTAAAGTTATTATTTTAGTTGATTTTTTCATATAAATAATAATTATTTAGAGATTTGGTGTATTAGATACAGTTTTGGTGGTTTTGGTTTAACCTTTAGTGGACTTTCAGTTTCGGCGGCAGTGCAAAACTTTGGATATAAATTTCTCTGTGATTATTGCTACGATTCCCGGGAAATAAGAATATATGCAGTTATACGCATTTTTTTTGTATTTTAGTCTTGTTTTTGCCATCAAATCTTACAAATAATATGTTGATATTGGCCCAATTGCTATTTTGTTATCTTAATCTATGATAAAATTGATAGAAAAACTTTCAAAACAGGACAGTTTTTGAGATTAACATTAGTTTAGTTTATTATATTTTATTTAAACTGCTAAATGCTTAAATATGCTGCATGCGGTGCCTCGCAGCCGAAGAAATACCGAATGAACTGAACCGCGTACATCTTTTACTGGTAGAATTTTCTATAGATTAAAATCAGTTCGTTAAACCCATGGACAAACATAATGGACTGAATGTACTCTGTTCAACTTTTCGAGTACACCTAGTCAGATTAGTGTGAGAGTGTTTCTCTCAAAAAACTAAATTTAAATCACGGACGATTTCGCGGGCGGCCGCTATTTAGTAGTGTATAAATATAAAACAAACTATTAAATACCTGGTGTTCTTGATACGGAGCGCGCGGGCGTGGTTCGCGGCGTGGAGCGGGGCGTGGAAGTCGCAGACAGAAGCGCCGGTGGGCGACGCAACCGCTGGCTCAGGGTATTAGGCTCGCCCGGCGCTGCATACAATAACGACAAAACCTTCTTTAATATAATCATCACTATTATCATTATCAGCGCTTTTAATATCCCTAACCTATAGATGGAATGGGTAGGTTGGGCCATGATTCACCGCTTGAGCTCAGTGCGGATTGTGGTGGATGCTAGCGACAGCAAGAGCAGCCGGGACCAACGGCTTAATGTTCCTTCCGAAGCGCGAAGTAGCTCGAGATACTAAGTTTTTGGCCACCCATCCAATGACCGGCCAATATTCGTTATTTATATAAGTTATTTAACTCCCACGATCAAAGTCTGAACGCACTAACCGGCGCCATCGAGCTACTTAATACTTAAAAAAAGTAGCCACACAGTTGCTTTTTTTTGTTTTGTATTTTCACGATTCGTCATTACTTACGCATGGTAGGTGATTCCTTGTGGCTTTATAATTTTACTTGTGTGGTTTTTACAAGATTTCATCGGTTTAAAATATGCCGTCGATTATAAAAGACGGCATATTTTAAAAAATTCATCAGAGCAATTGAACGTGTGATTGGCGCTGTCACGCGGAGTTAAATGGCAGCGGGTCGTCGGACCTGGTGCATTTGTGTGAGTGTAAGTAGTGTACAACAAACGAAATTGTAGGACCAGTGCCGTCGTTGACCTATTGGAGGCCCTGGCAAGGGTGGATCCAGCTTTGGCGCCAGGGGGGGGTCATATAGCCAGCTTTGGCGCCAGGGGGGGGTCATATAGTCGTGGTATATCAAATATTGAAAGTACATAAATAAAATCCCCCTGGGTTTGGTCCATCTGTACCCAGCCCAGGGGGGGGTCATGACCCCCATGACTGGATCCGCCCTTGGGCCCTGGGCATATTAGGATAATGGGGCCCCTATGACCCCCGTTTGGTGATTTAACATGAACTAGGGACTTTGTTTTTGATCTGAGGGGGCCCCCTATCTATCGCGGGGCCCTAGGCACTTGCCCAAAGTGCCCACTAGGTAAAAGGGGTCTGTGTAGGACCTTGCATGCTTCAAATCATTTTTGTTTGATGTTACATCCGTCTTTTTTTCAGGTCCGTGATATTAATAAGTTTAGCACTTAACAGTGTGTTTGTTTAACTCAAATATTTTTTGCTATGTGCTATTCGTTCATGTGCCAGGACCAAATCGAGTAATGTAATTTATATTAACACTTTAGAATTGAAAACTCAATCAAGGACTCATTTCATGTTGGTGTGAAATATACATTAAGTTAATCAGTTTGAAATAAATAAATACATCTACGGTGGATTGACTATTATATTAGCCTATTGTGAAAAGCCTATGAAAGAGCGGTGCATCCTAACACAGGCAGTTTTCCTGCTTAAAAGGATGCTTTAACCAATCTCATAACATAGTAAGTTAAGTTACTAAAATAATTTGTATTACTAAATTTGTGAACCAAATTATCAGATCAATCGGTCAACAGGAACCCTTTCCTGTAGTAAAATGACGGTAAAATATAAGGCCCAAAAATTTGGGAAAGAACTTTGTATATTAAACCGTTTTCCAATATATAATAGAATATTTTATCTACACCCATGCTTTCAAACTGCTAATAAGACACTCAATGGTGAAACAGATTCCGCTGATAAATTATAGCCAACATTAAAACATCTAATATCATAAAAAAAACATTATAACACTCACTCATATATTACATTCGAGTTTTAATAACCCTCATTAGACAACATTTGCCGAAATAACTTAATTAAAATACTAGCGCTTAATAGTTAACTGTAAATCAAACTCACGGTACACCACAAGGCAGGCGGTGGACGTGGCCTTCCCGAGGCAGTTGGAGGCTTCGCAGAGGTAAGTGCCTTCATCTTCAGCCGTCACTTGTTTAATCTTAAACCGGGCGGCGCCGTCTTCGTATGACCATTCGAAGTCAGGACATTCGCGAATAAACTGCAACGAAAAACGACGATCAGCTAAAGTGGTGCCCGTCAGAGATGGCGACTGTCACACTGTACATCGGAAATCAGAAATAAATATATCTTATTTAAATTGGATGTATAGTACGGTGGTGGTCAGAAAATGTTTACCAGTTTTCAAATTAGATTCTATGTCACACTTTTTTCACTAAAGTCTAAAATGCCATATTAAGTAACTTATTACCTTTCAAAAGTTATTATGCAATATGACGCATCAAGAATAACAAATAGTAGATTATTAACCAAGGGGATAAAGCAGTGTCTTCTGTCGCGGGTGACGATTTAAATCGCGAGCGTAACGAAGGACTCGAGGTGTACTCCCGAGCGTAGCGAGAGCGTTAAAAACTTAAATCACGAGCGAAGCGAGGGATTTAAGACGAGTCCTGAGTGTAGCGAGGGATTTATGTTCACCCAAGACTAAGACAGCTTTATCACCGAGGAAAATACTCTACTTTTCGTACCATTTGCGAAAAAATTAACACATTAATAATATGAGATAAGCATTTATTAAAAATAATCACAATTAAAAGTAGAAGTTAACATTCAAAACATTGGTCCAATTAAAAACGTCCTCGTCGGTTTTCGTAATTTTCTTTAATAATCATAACTGCACAATAAATGCATATTGCTTTTTCAAAAAGATGTATAATGCTTTATAATTATACAAACTCAATGGTATAAACACAGATGTAGTTCAGTATAAATTTCGGTAACTATTCCAAATTTAAATCACATTCTCCCCCTAGAGGATGAATGAAATTCAGTACAATTTTCTTTCCCTGTTTTTAACAGATTAAAAATTACTATTGTTATGTTCGCTTTTTGTGGCATAGAATGTCACTTGTTTGAGCAAGTACGAAAAAGAATTATATATTACTTTTTGATATTGAAACTCATTTCTTTATTGGATGAAATGACATTTATAAAAAAAATATTGTTTGAACATTGTTTGAACAAGAGCAAAAGGAGATTGCTCAAATTGGCCCAAATGTACAAAAGATATTGACGTATACGGTAATTCTTGGCGTAATTAATACTTTATATTACAGTCATTAGATTTTAACGGACACCTTTGTAAAATATATTTATTTTAAAAAGGACTTTTAATTTTACCGGTTTGGAAAACATACGAATCATTTTTAATGGCTATGGGTGTAGTAACATTCAGCCAAAGACTGATCGAAGTTGTTTATATAACATCAAAACAAATCTCTTTTGTAAAGATCGATAATTCTTTTTTTTATTACGCTGTGGTATTAATATCCACAACTATATTATCATTTTCACTGCATGCAAATGTGCTAAGACAATTATTATAGATGGTAGACGACCTCATAAAGTCTATAGCCATACATTTTTCGCCAAACACCTCCATAAACACATTATAAGGTGTGATACACTAAAAATCTAAAATATGGTTATAATATAAAAATAACAGAAATGAAGCTACTGAAGATATGGCTGTATAACCTAAATAAATTTTAAAAATTCTCTCTAATCTGTGGCTCATTCACAATCATCACACAGTTTCTGCGCAGAGTACCTTATGATAACCGGAAATGCATTTAAAAGTTACTCTTGTGCATTAACTACAAACACAGGCAACTATCTGTTAATCTACATGCTCTATATACCTGAATCTATTACATAATTTCGGTACTTGATTTCCCTAGTTTACTATATAACTTATTTGTTTTTTATAATTTTAATACTTATTTGCAAACATAACCTCAAAATCATTCAGTGTAGGTATATGGTTTATAGAAGTTCTCAGGGGTGTCCGTCAATAATATTTGTTTCTACAGTAATTTATATATAAACATGTATGGAAGCTGAACAATCTCCTTTACGAATAATATTTTCATAACTAAATAAAATGACAAGTTTGACCCTGGAGCAAAGGTCTGAAATAGTATTTCTCTTCGAAGATGGACAAGTATTAGTGATATATCACGAGAACTCAATATATCACGATTCACTGTGAGGTTTTGGATCCGGGGTCGCGGCGAAGAAGGGCACTTAACAGATCATAGAAATAATTCAGGACGACGCGGCGACGACTTATTCTAATCGCCGCGCAAATAACAGAAATGATTGAAATGATTCGTCGTTGTGAAAAGAACGGTTTCACACCAACTAGTTATTTTGCTGCTTTATATGATACGAGTGCTCGGACGATCCGACGAGCTTTGCACAGTGCTGGACTACACTACAGACACCATGCTATTAAAGTGGAGCTGAAACCTCACCACAAAACAGCCCGGCTTAACTTTGCGCGACAACATCATGATTTTGCTTGGTCGAATACTATATAGGGTGAAATTGAATGTTTCAATGAAACTTCGTGAGATTGTTGGGTTACGTGAATAGAGTACGCCTGTTTTTTTCGGATTTTTTAAAATTTTTTTTTTCGTTTTTTATTTGGTTATTTTTTTGTCATTTCTTCCTTATGAGTAATTATTCATTTTAAACACGTCTACATAGAAGTTGTAAAACAACTTAAAATAAGCACTCCTAAAAAAACGGAAACTTAATGAATGCCTCCAGTCGAGATCAGCGCCGGCCGGGGCGACGACCGGCGGCCTACTACACGCACAGATGACTCGGCGCTTACCTACTTTCCGCTTTGATTCTACACTATTTAAAAACATTACAATAAAATAGTCTTAGTTGCTATATTATAATTATTTATTCACTGATATACAATACCTTTGAACATTATTTCATAAAGCATAGGTAATTAATCAATAAAATAAATCTTCTGTTAGAGCAATTAAAAATCCTATAAAGTTAATATGACTGTCACGATTTTAATTCGGTAAAGCCTGTCTGTTAGTATAAGAACTTCTTTTTTATTGCTAATGTTAGTAACTCTTCGTGACTGGTTTGCTCACGTCATGAAATTCAGAACACATTTAATCACAGTCACAGTCACACACACACACACACACATAATATGTTGTTTTGCGGCAAGCACGGGCGGGCGACACGCCGCCCGCTGGCAAGACACGTGCAGCGCTAGCGCCGGTCGCGGCGTCTTTGATGTTGTGAATCCGTTTTCGACTTCGTTTATAGTGCGCGTTTTCTTTTCAGAGAAGAAAGAAACAGCACGAGTCGCCAAAGTTTAATAAAGGTGCGAATACACTAAATCAGCAATAGCGATGTATTGAACAATCTGACGCTAGTTCTCCAACATTTTTATCAACAAATGAATGAATTATTGTGGATACAACAACTTTATAATTTTGAAATGTTAAATGTTTATCATGTTGTTCGATTAAGGCACTTCGCACACTAGACGACCGCGGCTACGATCAGTTGTGGACGTGGCCGCAACCTTGGTCGCAGAGGCGGTTGGGCTACGGCTGCGGTCTGCGGCCACGACCACGACTGTTCGTGACGCTACCATATTGCTGGTCGTTTATTTCATTAATTAATAACTCTGTATCAAAACTTATTGTAGAAAAAAACGTAGTCATATTCAGTCGAAGAACGGTATGAAGCATGTTCGTTCACGAACTGTCCGCATGACCTTGACACTGAGATTGACCGCATTCGCTGTCGCAGATCTACTGCGGGCCAGTACGACTGGTCGTTGCAACTAACTTCTGTATAGCTTGCTATGAGCGCTCGCGCTTTAGATCTGCGATCGCAAATGCGGCCTGGTCGCTTCAGCCATTCTCAGAGTCATGCTGATAGTTCGTGAGTGAGCACGCTTCGTATCGTTCCGCAACTCTATAGGACGAAGATATTTTTCTGCAATGAGCTTTGATACAGTTATTTATTAATGAAATAAAGAAACGACCAGTAATATGGTCGCTTTACGACCAGTCCTGGTCGTTGCCACAAACTTGTCCGCAGCCCAACCGTAGCTTCTGCAATCAAGGTTGCGGTGACGGCTACGGCCACGACTGGTCATGGTCGGGGCCTAGTGCACGACGTGCCTTAGTTAATCTGGTCCTCGCGGCTCCTGGTCGTGCTCATAATCGTCTAGTGCGCGAGGTGCCTTACTGAGGCAATAACAAATATCAACGGCAGTTTTTTTTGTAAATGTTTGACTATAGAAATACAGGGTTTACTTTAGTCTTAGTCTTAGTAAGTAGTACGGCGCGGGCTATTTCGGCATGATTATGTGAAAGCACCTTAAAAAGTCCTGTCTTTTATGTACGCCGGCGCTCGCCCGCCCACCTCTCCCCTCTTCCCCGCGCGCGGTGCTTTGCAATGCATGCAAAGGGCAGTCGCAAGTATATCAATAGCGCGTGCGCATCTTTTGACTTAGTGACAAACACTGTGATAATTTCATTATGCCTCGGTATAAGAACCAAGAATATTTAGAAATGGTGTACTGCTATCGCGAGTGTGACGAAGTGCTCAGTAGAGCCGCAAGGCTTTACGAAGATAGGTTTGGTTTACGAGTGTGTCCGCAAACCATACTCAACGCCGTATACAGATTCCGCGAAACTGGACTCTTCAACGCACCGGCGACTGACTCTGGGCGACCTCGTATTTATACCGATTTGGAAGAAGAAATTTCGGTTTTCTTCCGTCAGCATCCAATGGCAAGCACCAGAGATGCCGCAGCCGTATTTGGTGTAAGCCAATATTACGTGTGGCGGCTTTTACACGAAGAGGAAGGCAGTCCCAACCATCCTTATCATCTGACCAAAGTGCAAGAGTTGGCGCCACCAGATTTACCAGCTCGGCTGCAGTTTTGCACGTGGCTACGCAAAGAGCGCCATCAGATTTTGTGGACAGATGAGTCTACATTCACCCGAGTTGGAATGTTTAACATTCACCATTCCCACTTTTGGAGTGACGTGAACCCGCGTCAAGTCAGACCCTCACACTTCCAAAGACGCTTCAGTGTGAACGTGTGGGCGGGAATCTTAGCAGACCAACTTCTCGGGCCAGTGTTTTTAGACCGCTTAAATACGGACAATTATCTAGACTTGCTGCAGAACCAAGTCGAGAACA